ATATATTGTAAACTTGGTGGCAGAGGTGTATTAATATTCCTCATAGTTCTGGAGGCTAGGAAGTCCAAAATCAAGGCACAGGCAGATTTGGTTGGTATCCGTTGAGGGCTATGGTTTCCAGTTCATACATGGCTGTCTCTTTACTGTGTCCTCAGTAAATAGGTGGAATGGGCAAGGGAGCCCTTGGGGACCCCCCTTTTTAAGGGATCTAATCTCATATTTGAGATTTCCACCCTCATGACCCAACCACTTCTCAAAGTCTGCCCCTCCAAGTATTATCACCTTGGAGGTAAGGTTTCAACACAGGAATTTTGAGGGGTATGTAAGCTCTCAGTCTGTATGAACAGAACATGTGATGAGATCTGTTTCTCAGATCTAAGGGTACTAGAAGACCCAAAAAAAGAAGGGCTCAGAGAGAGGGCGGATGAAGGGTAAGAAGGGCACCCATTGTGGATGGACAGGATGTAGGTCACTGGAGAGGAACGAGTGTGGGACACTGTGAGCATTAGGAGTGGTTTGGCAAAGGTCAGGAGAGGGAAATCCACATGGACTGCAGGAGACACTGAGGGAGTGGGCAAGAAGGACGGCAGTGAAAGATGAGGACAGAAAATGTCATGTTAATGGTTGTAATATTGTCTTCCAACAGTACTTATTCCAGGCACTATTCAAAAAGCTGTAGATATATCACCTCATCAAACCCTTACAAGGTCCCTCTGAGGTGAATACTGTTATCTCCACTTTACAGACAAGGAAACTACAGGGTTAAGTAACTTGCCTAAGGCCACATAACCTTTAAATGGCAAGGCTGGGCTTTGTTCCCAGCAGCCTGATTTTCAAATTGTGCTCTCTTTAGCCTACTTTAGTTTGGGCATGACTTTTGTTCAAGAAGGAGTTTCAGCAAGAGTGGTCATTCTGGGGATAAAAATGTCCTATTCCACAGGTGCCAGAAGTCCTGCTAACTTTTTTTTTTTTTTTTTGAGACGGAGTCTCATTCTGTTGCCCCAGCCTAGAGTGCAATGGCATTACAGCTCACAGCAACCTCAAACTTCTGGGTTCAAGTGGTCCTCCTTCCTCAGTCTCCAAAGTAGCTGGAACTCTAAGTGGGCCCCACAAGGCCAGGCTAATTCCTACTTTTTTCCATTTTTAGTAAAGATGGAGTCTTGCTCTTGTTCAGGCTGTCTCCTGAGCTCAAGTGATCTTCTGCCTCAGCCTCCCAGAGGGCGATGCTTATAGCCATGAACCACTGTGCCCAGCTGCACTAATGTATGTTGAGTATCTATCTCCTTTTTTTTTTTTCTTTTTTTGGTGACAGAGTCTCACTCTGTAATCCTGGGTAGAGTGCTGTGGCATCATTGTAGCTCATAGCAACTTCAACTCTTGGGTTCAAGTGATTCCCTAGCCTCAGTCTCCCGAGTAGCTGGGACTTATGGGTGCCTGCCACCACTCCCAGCTAGTTTTTCTATTTTTAGTAGAGACAGCATCTTGCTCTTGCTGGTCTAGAACCCCTGAGCTCAAGCAGTCTACCCACCTTAGTCTCCCAAGAGCGCTCGGATTACAGGCTGAGCCACCACACTGGGCCTATTGCGCACCCTCTGTGTGCTACGCTCTGGGGATACAAAGGGAAAGACAGGGCCCTGCCCTCACTGCCCTACCAGGATGTAGTTCAGTGAGGAGTGGGCACTGGAGCTAGCCCACTCTGACTGTCCAGAGCCAGACAGTGCCACCCCAAAGCTTTTTGCTGTCCTTCGTGTTGGGTAGGGTCCTGGGTGCTGTGGGTTGCTCAGTGATCCTCTGGCTTCTACAGGCTGACATTTCTCCCCAGGGTCCCCTTTGGTCCTTGTGATCCAGACAGGGGTGAATGTGTCACCAGACTGCACAGCTCTGCTGGTACCACACTGTCCCAAAGGTTCTGAGGGAGACTAAAGTCACTGGGATGGAGCTGCCAGAACCAGAACCCTGCAGGGCCTAAACACAGGTCCTGGCTCTTCCCTTTGATGGGCTGTTCTCAAGGTTGTTTTGCTCTGATTGATGATCACAGGTCTCATTTCCCTGCCAACCGCTCCCATCAGCCTGAACACCCAGGGACACAGGTAGACACACAAGTGGTCATTATCAAAAGACTGTAGTTCAAGAAAGGGATGAGTGGGTGCTCTTGCCACATGAACCAAAACATTGGTTTGAGGCTGACTGTGGCTAGGTCCCCATTCACAATAGACTATTTTAGGAGTAATCTATAAAAGGAAGCTGAAGTTTGGGGTGAATAAATGGGCAGGTACACAAATGCTATGTAATTCTGTCTGCACAGCAATTTATGAAACAGAATAGCTGCAAGGTCGAGATGTAGACAAGGAGAGAGACCTTGGCCACTCCTGCACTGGGAGCTGTAGCCCAAAGGCAGGACAGGGTCATGAGTCTTGGCCCTTCATAAAAAGGCAAAGGGATTTTGGAGGTCCTGAAGGTGTGAGATCAGAGTGGTGACTGAGGTGGTGGCTGCTGCTGGTCTCCAAGCATACAAAGACCCCGGGGTTTTTTTGTTTTTTGTTTTTTTTTTTTTGCAGTTTTTGGCCAGGGCTGGGTTTGAACCCACCACCTCCAACATATGGGGCCAGTGCCCTACTCCTTTGAGCCACAGATGCTGCCCCAAAAACCCCATTTTGAGGTAGGACCATGAAGTGGTCAAACCAAGATGCCTTACCGTTCCCTTGAGCACTCATTCTGACTATCTCTCTGCATGCATGGGACTGCACCTAGGGCGGGTACAGAGAGCTAGTAAGTGATGTGTGCCCGACATTGCCCCCTCAGCTGGGACAAAGCCCTGGGCTATATGTAAAAGGTTAAATTGAGTCCAGATGACATTATCATTGGGTCTCAATCAGGGCAGTGAGGGTCTCACAAGAAGCACATCTCTGCCTCCTAGCTCCCACTCAAGCAAACTCACTGTGCATTGGGATGGCACAGCTGGCACTGCTTGGTATTTCTTCTCACAGTTTTGCTAAGCACATGGCTGAGCTCCCCTAAGTTAGATGTGGGCACAAAGAGATTGCAGTGAACGTACCACCTGTCACCTGGTGCTGGGGACATGCGTGAATGCACACCCTTCCTCCATCATCCTTTCTGCCTGGCTGCCAGCTCCCTGCTCTTACCCTTCCCTGTGCCCATGGCTCCCTTCTTGCCTCTTCTGTCAAAAAACTCAGACTACCCAAAGGCCCAGCTTGACCACCCACAAAGCTCTGAGGTTGTCTTTTCCTAAGTTCCCATAGCACACCATGAAACCCTAAGCTTTTTCCAGGCAAATTTAGCTGAATTTATCTGTGGCTATTCCCATCCTTGGGACCCACACACCTAGTGCTCTAACAGAGCTGGTTAAATTGTACTTTCTTCGGATTCTTTGTTTCTGGCATGACAGTTCACCATTCCTGCTCCTGAAAGAGCAAGCCTTTACTGAGCTCCTATGCACCAGACCTAGCTAGGAATTTTCACATACATCAACACATTTAAGTTGCATAACCTGGGAGGTGGGGGTTGTTACCCAATGAGGAAACAAATCAGAGAGGCTCAGTGACTTGTCCAAGGTTACAGAGCAAGAGATGGAGCCAGGATTCAAACTGGAGCCAGTCTCACTTAAGATGAGTGGTTTCCCCCCTTATAAGCAGACACAACAGAGTAACAGTTATTTATCATTTATATTGTGTTGTACATAATTTCATTTGATCCTCACAACAGTCCTGTGAGGTAGGTAGGGTTACATATTACTGTTATGCCTATTTCACAGATGAAGAAACAGAGGTGGCTCAGTGAGGTGAGTGACTTACACAAAGTCACACAGTACGTTAGTGGCTTCACAGGTTCTGTAATTTCCCTAAAGTCAAGCTGCTTGAATTAGGAAGCACCAAAAGATGGTGAACATTTTATGGAGAGAAAAAAGGGCAGTGATGACTTAAGAGATTTCTTCCTCAAATTGTTTTGTTGTGGTCAAAGCTTCTGCTGTTTGGTCAAAACTAGGTTTTCCACATTGTGTTGGCTAGTGGCCTGGGAAACTGTCATAAAGACTCCTGGGTCCCACTGTAGATGTGGGGAAGGCCTTTATTCTCTAAGGGACCTGGCCCTGGCCCAGCACACAAGCTCCGTACTTGGAAAGTGTAACCATGGGAAGCCCCTTCCTTGATCTACCGTCTATGGGTGCCTATGTCACTAAGCTTCCCTGGCTTTGTCTGAGCGCCCCTGCCCAGTGGGGAAGACTCCAGGATTCCTCTGGCCATACTCACTCCAGGGATGAATCATAATATGCAGTTTGGAGGCCTGCATGGCTCAACACCCGATGGGAAGTGGTGGCTTCGAGTTTCTTGCCCTGGATGGTACCCCAAGGACTCCTCGTCCAGTTATGACCAGACATAGTACAACAGGGGAAGGCTGCCTCCTTGAGAGCAGTTATCTTAGGGACTGGATGCTTCTCCAAGGGCAGTGCTATGGTTCAGACCACTCCTGAGCTCCTCACTGCACATTGCCTGCAGAGATCCTCTCTCTCCTCCGGATCTCCTCAAGAACTTCCAATAGACAATTGAAGTGGAACCATGGTTTGTGGGGAAGATGGGAGGAGTGGGGGTCACAAACAAGGTGAAGCTGTAACAAAAGAGGACTGACTGACAGGGGATGGAAACAAGCCAACTTTGATTCTGAAGACGGATCCCAAAGGGGAATCTGAATTCTGTGTAATAATATTTTCAGAAGAAGCATCTGGCCTCTTAGGGTAACTTTTTTTTGTTTTTTGAGACAGAGTCTTACTTTGCACCCTTGGCAGAGTGCCGTGGCCTCATAGCTCACAACAACCTCAAACTCTTGGGTTCAAGCAATTCTCTTCCCTCAGCCTCCCAAATAGCTGGGACACAGGCACCTGCCACAATGCCCAGCTATTTCTAGAGATGGGGGTCTCACTCTAGCTCAGGCTGGTCTCAAACCTGTGAGCTCAGGGCAATCCACCCTCCTCAGCCTCCCAAAGTGCTAGGATTACAGGAATGAGTCACTGTGCCTGGCTAGCATTAACTATTTTGGAAGTGAAGATACACATTTGGCTGAGAAGGAAGGTCTGCAACCAAGATCCAGCACATGAAGTGGCAGGACAGACTTTGGCTAAATAGAAAGAACTCTCTAACAGCACCATCTAACCATGGCAGGAACTGCCTTGGGGATGGCGAGCTTCCTATCACCACAGGTATGCAAACAGGCACAGGTGATCACTTGGAGGTACTAAGGGAGAGGCGCTGACCCCCAAATGTGCTGGGCTATGCTTGGGGTAGGGGGAGACCAAGCAAATGTTGAATTATTTTCCAACCCTGAGAATCCATATTATGTTTGCTTAAAATGACCTGTTTCAATCATACCTCAAATTTTTGGGAAAAGGATTACAAAAGTCAGGCAACAGGCTGGATTCTGAAGCACCTTTCGTTACACTGGCTCCAGAAACCTTCACATCTTCACAGGGACAGCAGCCCATTTCTGAAGCCAGAAATCCTTAGATTCAGCCCTGTCAAGAGGGATAGCTCTGCCTTCTGAACCCTTCCTGGATGCCCCCTCCTCGGGACTATGTCACAGCTCAGCTCTCTCCTGCAGCAGAGACACTGAGAGGGCTGTGAGAACACACTGCATTGCAAGCCAGCAAGTCACAGTTGCCACTGGGCAAGGAAGTCCAAGGTCCTGGATGCAATCAAAGGAGGGAAGAACAGGTATGATGGGGACCACTGGGCACTTCACGTCTTGGGAAACCAAAGGGAGCCTCTTGTTCTCATCCTATCCCCTCTCCAGGAGCCTTTTCACAAAGGGATAAATGTGGTACTGGCTAGTGGTACAGAGAGAAATGGAGCCCATAAGAAAACTGCTGCTCCTCTGTCCCGGCCAGAAAGTCCTCCTGTAGCCTCCTTTAGTACACATCAGCTTACTCTTCTCTTGTCACAATAAACTGCCCATCTCCAGCTCAAAATGGCAAGAAACAAGGTGGTTCTGCTCAGAGGACATGTGGATTCCAAAATGTGGACTTTGTCATGGGGGAATCAGTCCTGCTATGCAAGTAGTAAAGATTAGTATAGTGTCCTGCCTCATGCTGCTGGCGAGATACTCTCCACGACCTTGGCTGACATATGCTTCTTGGGACTTCCCCTCTCCGATGTTGCTTAGCTCCTTTTACCTATACCGTATTAATCGAATAATCTTATTGTTCATAAAATCTAGAGCATGCGGGTGAGAAGAATCAATGCAGAAGCCATCGCTCAGAGCAATTTTCAACACCTCCTCCACGAAGACCTGGAAGCTATTGATCTGCTTGTTGGCAGGGACCACCCACAGCCTCTTGAGGTTCTGCTTGGTGTACTCCTCCTCTGGAAGGCCCTCCACATTGGCCACCCAGTCCAGAGTCAGGTGGTTTGGGTCCTGCAAGTGGCTGGTGATGGAGGAGAGATTGCCGTTGGAGCAGTAGAAGAGCTTGGAGCCCAGGAGCTTGAGGAAGAGGCAAGAGGTGCTGAAGATATTGGCATTGAAGACCTCCATGCTGGAGGACGAGAGGCTGTAGATCTGGGGCGCCTCCCGCACAGTGAAGTGGACCGTCTGCACACGCTGGTTCAGGGTGATATTGAGCATGGCATTCTTCTCCGCCTTGGACAGCTCTACCTCCTTCTCCTGCAGGGCTTCGATCAGGGGTTGCACCTGGTAGAAGTCAGCCTCCCTGCGGAGCAGGCCCATCTCCTGGAAGTCCTCGGGTAGGTCCAGGTGGGAGGTGCGCAGGAAGTTGAGGATGTAGCGGAACACTTTGCCATCACGGTCAATGAAGCAGTTGCCCTGGCTGTCCCTCTTAGTGGGCATCTTCCCGCTGAACATGGCACCTAGCATGGAATCGGGGAAGCTAGTCAGGGTTGCCAGTGAGGTAGTATAGAGCTTCCCCCCGACGTTCAGTGTGATGGGGTCAGACATGGCAGGAGGCCAGAGTGCTGGGAAGTAATCCTGCAGAGGGAGAAAAGTGAGAAATGATTATATATTAAGCCTACACTCCTTAGGGTTGAAATGAATTAATTCTAATCAATATTTGCTATACTGTTTAAGGCACATAAAATTCACTAGGAAGTTAAAAAAAAAAAAAGAAAAAAGAAAGCAAACAAAAAACCCTACAGTGTAGCCAGGCATCGTGGCAGGTGCCTGTAGTCCCAGCTACTTGGGAGGCTGAGGCAAGAGAATTGCTTAAGCCCAAGAGTTTGAGGTTGCTGTGAGCTGTGACGCCACAGCACTCTACCAGGGTGCTACAGTGAGACTCTGTCTCAAAAAACAAATCTAGAGCTGTTGCTGCTGTTTTTTTTTTTTTTTTTTTTTGAGACAGAGTCTTAAGCCGTTGCTCTTGGTAAAGTGCTATGGTGTCATGGCTCACAGCAACCTCAAACTCTTGGGCTGAAGTGACCTTCTTGCTTCAGTTTTTCTATTTTTAGTAGAGACAGGGTTTTGCTCTTGCTCAGGCTGGTCTCTAACTCATGAACTCAAGCCAATCTACTTGCCTCTGCCTCCCAGAGTGCTGGGATTATAGGTGTCAGCCACTGCTCCCGGTTAGAGATTCTATTTTAATTGGTCTGGAACATGGCCCTAATAACTGGCATTTTAAAAGAACTCCCTTGGTAACTCTAAATGTTCAGTTAAAATAGAGAACCACTAGTCCATAGTAAGAAAGGACAATATGCCTGGACTGAAAGCTGCATTAATACAGGTATTTGCTTACATAATAGTTGTGTCATTTTTTGACATGGACAATACCATCATCCTATTGTACAGATCAGGAAAACTATGCCAGGCATTCCTTGTGCTCGGAGAGGTGAAGTAGCTTGCCAGGATTCAAACTCAGGTCCCTTTATATGGAGGGTCAGTGCAAATGTGGGACTCTGCCCAGAGCAGGATTCAAACTCAGGTCCCTTTATATAGAGAGTCAGTGCAAATGTGGGACTCTGCCCAGAGCACAGACCCCCATTCATCTGCCAGCTGCCAGTGTGTACAGCCAGTAAGTCTCCTTCAGCAAAGGTTCAGGAAGCAGGGGATATAGCCTCTCAGTATCCAGCATGATACTTTCCCAACAGTCAGCTTGCAGAACAGATTCAGCAATCTTTCCTAGTGTGGCAGGTGGTGACACCAAGAGTAACTGCTGCCCTTGGGCCCAGGCGGGAGGCAGAGACAAGAGACACTGAAGGTACAGGGACAAGACAGACATACCAAGAGGTGCAGGAGTAGGTCAGGAATGAATCCCGGCACATCAAGAAATGTCCACATGAGGAAACAGAGGCCTGAGAGGGGAGCTTCCCCAAAGTCACTCAGCAGAAGTGGCAAGCACCTCTCAACACCTGCCTCCTGAAGAGGCTGACTGACTGCCCTGAGAACCCTTTTCTCCAGAGGATGGGGACCACGCTGGGTTGTGGGAGATGCTCTGCTATCCTGCCAATTCCTTCCCAGTCTAAAGGGGCACTTTTTTTTTTTTTTTTTTGAGACAAGAGTTTCACTTTGTTGCCCTTGGTAGAGTGCTGTAGCATCACAGCTCACAGCAACCTCCAACTCCTGGACTCAAGCAATTTTGTTGCCTCAACCTCCAGAGTAGCTGGGACTACAGGTGCCCACCACAATGCCCAACTCTTTTAGAGATGGGTTCAGGGGCACTTTGATCAAACTGCAGGAAGTCATTAACCATCTGGAGTGTCTAAAGAGAAAGAGCCACGATGAAGTTACAACGCTTGTCAGCAGATGGGCTGAGACAGGGGGAGGCCTAGCAGACAAGGTGGGGAGTTGCCTGACATTGGGCCTGCTGAAGCACAGACTAGGGAGGGTGCTAGGGCGCAGGGTGGACCTGAACAATTCTCTCTCCAGAGGGCCCAGGCAGAACCCAGACTCAGGATTGGGTCACCCTCTTATTCATTCCAGAATTTTCTTTTTCCTTGCTATTTCCCTCTTCCCCAGACTTTAGTCTTCTCCAACCCCTTTTCATTCTAAATATTTAATAGTAAAGTGTATATTCTAGTTTTCAGTCTTTCCCCTTAACCAGCCCCTCCCCCACCAACACTGGGTCTCAGGCCCAAGCTCTGTGAAGTGGCTCAGCTCCATGGAAAGAACAGGATATTGGGTTAGGGAGGCCAAGCTGTCTTTTGTGGCAGCTGGGCAGGCCCCTCCCTCCTCTGCATGTGAGTGCTCAGGTGCATGGTTTCCTGGAGGTGGTCAGTAATCACAGGGCATTCTCTAGGACCCTTGGGCAGGTGCCCAAACTCCTATTTCTCTGCTGGCAAGAGTAGCAGAGCATCCGCTTTCCGGCTCCTACCATGACATGTGGCTCCCAGTCATTTGTCTGGGAAGAGCAGCACAGGCTTACAGAGGAAGCTGGGCAGAGGCTGGCAGGGTGCTCTCTGTGGTGTTCTCCCCTACCTGCTGACTCTCAGACCTCAGTCCTCCTACCCTTTATTTCCTAGTCACATGGCCCTGGACACAGACCCTGTTGTGAAAGGCACAGTGACATGACACGAGTGGCAGGACCTGGCACCTCTGGGGGCTGAGGAGCTTCTGAGTGTGGTGGAGGGTTTGAAGTCACATATGACAAATGAAGCTCTCTGAGCTACCACCCTCCGTGTGTTCCCAGCTGCCTCTGAGACACCTCCACCTGGATATCCACAGGTACCAGAGGCCTAACACAGAACTCTGTTGTGAGCTCTGCCCAGCCACCCAACTGCCTGGGCCCAAGACCAGGGAGGCAGCCAACTCCTCAGCCTATAGTTTGTCTCAACTGTCTCCTAGAACCCATCCTATCGCTACTCCCAGAGCTCAGGCTTCTCCTTACTCCCTCTCCACCCTACATCCTTGCTCAGCTCCCTTCTGTCCACCTTGTATTTTGATCTGCAGACTGACCTTCCTGAAGCACTAACTCCCTCCCCAAACCACTCTGTCTTCCCCTCTCATCTCTATCCCTGCCCTCCATGCACTCTAGGTGTCAGTACTCCAGATGCCACTGAATCTCCCTAACACCGTCACCTACTCTGCCTTTGCCCTCCCTAAACCACCACTTTCTACCTCCTCCACCTTCTCTGTTATCTACTTTTCAGGCCCAGCCTATGAGTCATCACTTCTGTGAGGCTGTCCCTAGATCTCCACTAGGTCAACAGTTCTCCTCCTAGGCTCCCTGGTCATGCAGTGCTTACCATTCCATCATGCAGGGATCTGCTGTGCACCTGGCCCTCCTCCCTGGCTTTATGATGGTGGAGATCACTGGAACCTTGATCCATCTCTTGTACCATATATGGAAAAGTAACTCAAAATGGATATTCATGGACTAAATGTAAAATCTAAAACTATAAGCTGAGCTGGGTGCAGTGGCTCAAGCCTGTAATCCTAGCACTCTAAGAGGTTGAAGCAGATGGATGGCTTGAGCTCAGGAGTTTGAAACCAGCCTGAACAAAAGTAAGAGCCCATCTCTACTGAAAATAGAACAACTAGGCGGGGTGGTGGGTGCCTATAGTTTCAGGTACTTAGGAGGCTGAGGTAAGAGGATGGGTTGAGCCCAAGAGTTAGAAGTTGTTATAAGCTATGATGCCATGGCACTCTACCCAGGGCAACAAAATGAGATTTTTCTCAAAAATAAAACAAAACCTTTGTGGCTTTGGTTTAGGCATAAATTTCCTAGATAGGACTCTACCTATACAGCCATAAACCATAAAGTAAACTAGACTTCATTGAAATGAAAAACTTCTCCTCTTGAAAAGACACTTAAAATGAAGGAATATGACCCAGACTAAGAGAAAATATTTGCAGAACACCTATCAGATAAAGGATTGTTAATCAGACTATATAAAGAATTCTCAAAACTCAGTAAGAAGGCTCGGCGCCTATAGCTCAACCGGCTAAGGCGCCAGCCACGTACACCTAAGGTGTCGGGTTCGAATCCCCAGCCCGGACCCGCCAAATCAACGATGATGGCTGCAACCAAAAAATAGCCGGGCGTTGTGGCGGG